AAAAAAAACACAACCCACAAACTATTGGCCAGAAGGATAGATAGCTCAGTGAGCAAAAAGCACTTATTGCCAACCCTAACGACCCAAGTTGGATTCTGGGATCCACATGGTGGAAAGAGAGAACCGACTCCCACAATTTGTCCTCTGACATCACAAGAGTGTGTGCACCCACCCACACAAATAAATGCTAATAAGAAAAAATTTACAAAAAATTAATCAAAACAGACTTTGAAGTTTATGATTTTAAAAATTACACATACCAGTATGATTCAGCAGCAAAATGCTTATCATGTCAATTAACTGAGTGTCATTCATGAAAACTACAAAACGCAAGCTAACCTTCAAGTGTGTGTTGGAGTTCCAACACCTGATTAATAAGTCGTGTTTTCTCTTCCAGTTCCACCTGATTTTCAGCATCAACTGCTGTAATGAAAAGGTTTAAATTTACTATTAATAAACATTATTAGGTACCACTTGTGGAATGTGGCACTTAATAGTCTGCAGAACATTTGATATTATTCATTATTTTAACTGAATTACAAAACCCTCATTTGTAGGGCAGATAAGGACACTAAGGTGAAAATAAAAAAGGAACTTAAGGAATAGAAATTGCCTTAGATACTTTCTAAAGTAGAAGGAAGAATAAGTAAATCTGCCAAGACCCAGACCTTCTAAAGATCCTCTGCTCCTTCCATTGTTTTAATAAAGCAAAAGCATCCAGAGATCCCGAAACATAAAAAACAGAGGCTGAAGCCTTACCATCCATGTCAGCATTCATCATCTTGGGTAACAGACTTTCAAGTCTTGGATACAAAATCCTTGAAGGATGATCTGCAATAAGAAAATGGAACAGATATCATATCTATAAAATATAAGCTTATTTTTCAAAATACCCAGAACTCTTCTCATGTGTTATTGCTTCCAAGGATTAAGTGAAAAAGCAAAGGATAAAAACAGTGCAGTTTATATAACAAAGTACGAGGCAAAGAGAAAATGTTGAGCTTCCTGGTAATCAAGCACATAAAATCAAATGCTGTGCATTTCTTACATTATTTTTTATGGTAAGCTAATGCTAGTAAGCTAGCAAAGGGACATGGAAAAGCAAACACTCAAATGCTGGACACAAATCCTCAGTGTGTAATTTTGTGAAATTACTGTGATAGTAAAAAGACTCAAAAACACTTTAAATATTTTTACTAAGGACAGTTAACAAAGAAGGAAAAAGTTACACACATAAAATCTTTACTTCAACCTTATTCATAACCTTATTCAACCTTATTCAGGAAATCACAAACAATTTAACTGCACAGTCTGGTGAACTACAGTTGCATGTTCTAATGTAGTGGCTGGTTAAATAGCTGATTAGTAGAACATGAAGGATGTCTGAAATTTCATATTCAATAATGTAAACTAAGAATGAGAACATAGCAAAAAGAAAAGGTTCTTATGACAAATACTTTTAAAATTGTTTCCATTGTGTTTCATACAGGCTGTTTAAATTATTACACAAAAACTCAAATTATCATATATCTACAACACTAATATGGAATAAATAAAAATATCCACTTTCATCTAATGATGGTTTACTCAAAAGACTAATCAGGATATAAATAATACTAATATCTCATAATTTTAGTACAAGGCTCTAAATAGAGCATACAATTCTTATAAAACATGTTTGCTCTATTGTTAACCATCAGTTTCCATTCAGTGTGCTAGAAATTCATCATATGTTTCCAGAAAATTCCTTGAGGCAGGTCAATCACTCTGCAGTGAAGCAACAAGGTCAATTTTGTCAATATTCCTCTTTTAACAAGTATTTCTTGAACATCTACTATGCTCAAGGTATCGTTCTGCCTCACAGTCTACAGAGGAAGACTGGAACCAACCACCAGTGAACTGTATATTCCTCAGTAACTTCAGCTAATATGATCTACTACATTTCTGATGCTAGCATGAACAGAGAATGTCCATGTAAAATGTGAAAACTGTTTCTCCAGGTATCATCAGAGTCCAGGAAAGCTAGTAGACATCTTTGCATTAATAAAGAACTAAGTATAATGGTACACAATTCACAAGGCCTAATAAACTGCCCCTAAGCAGCACAAAAAGCTTGCTCTCCCATCTGCTTTCCACATCACTTCACTCAGGTTCTCTGCACTTGAGAAAGTAAATTACTAATTTTTTTTCAAAATTCCATTTTAAAGTTATTCAACCTATTATAGTATTTAGTGATCACACTTCAAGAATTTATTCCTCTCATCAAAGTATGTATAAAAATGTTAATAAGTAAACTTCTTACTTTGCATGCTAATTTTAAAAAGTATTCCTCTCCATTTAATCAACAGAACTTTACATTTTAAATTAATATAAAATTGTTTGATGTGTTTATGTTCATATGTACATGTTCATGTGTATGTGCATAAGTGTACATATGTGTGAGGGCCAGAGGTCAGCTTTGGATGCCTTCCTCAGTCCATCTTATTTTTTGAGACAAGGCCTTCTCATTGAACCTGGAACTTATGATTCCACTAGAGATGCCTGTGAGCAAGTCCTAAAGATCCTCCTATCTCTATCTCCCTAGTGCTTTGATTACAGACACACATCCCAATGCCTGTAATTTGTGGAATCCCTAAATGTTGTACACCTGCACTGTCTCACATAAATATTTTTGTGATGAGAACACTTAGTGTCCACTCTTAGAGAAAAAACTTGGTTTGATACACTCCTGAAAGAAAAAACATAACTCTACCAGGGGACCAGTCACCCTTACTCTTCATACTGCTGTAATCATTCACCTAGCTAAGATGGTCTGGCAGACTAACAGAGCCAACAACCAAATAAAACCTCTCGGGAGTTCTCAGCAACAGCAGACTGCAGCTCCGCTATGCCTTTGCTGGATAGTAAAAACTATTTTAAATTTCTAATAGCCAGTGCTTCTAAGAACACAATTAAAACAGCGTTTTCATTGAGAGTCAAGATGAGTTTTAAGATATAATCCAAAGCAACAGATAATCATGAAACAATTACATCTAATTTTGAAGTAAGGCATGGTATAGGGATGGGGTATTCTTTAGCCAATGTTCCAGTCAAATATTGAAATTAAAGTTTTAAAACCACAAGTGTTCCAAACCTAGCAGTGTAGTAGAGAGTCAGTCTTTGAAATTTTGGCCTCACATAACCCAATCCATACATTTACATACATAAAATAATAAGCAAAATATTTTTTAAAAGTTCATTTTACAAGGAGAAAAACAAGCTGGTAGTGATTCAAAGTCTCATCTGTACTGGTTAGCTTTCACAGTGCTGGAAGGTGCTATGCTTGTTGCCAGATGAGGAAAGTAATTATCAGCTTTGCCCAGCTGTGAATTCTCTGAGCTACAATAACAACTAGCCTGGCATGATATACCAAGTGGTGCAACAGTGGCACAAATTTTATGTAACCAACTACTTTCTGATTAGATTTAAGCTCTACTTCACAAAATGGAGCCCATACTTGACACTGATATCAGGAATCTGTGGCTAGATAGGTCACGGTTCATTAGGGGAGCATCTAATACTACTATTCTGCTAAACGGATATAGTATTAAACCTAGAATATTTTAAAATATATTAAAATATTTTCTAAAAAGTTCATTTTAGAGGCTGGCAAAGATTCAGTAGTTAAGAACACTTGCTGCCCTTTCAGAGGGCCAGGGTTTGCTTCCTAGCCCCCATGTCCAGAGAGCCAGGACCACCTGTAACACCAGCTCCAGGGGATCGATCATATGCCTTCTTCTGGTCTCTGAAGGCATACACATGCACATAAATAATATATACATATTCTACATACATAAATAATAAATCTTTATATTAAGACTTCATTTTAAACTCCTTTGAACACATAAGCGCAAATGTGACATGAAGAGAATCAGACCACAGCATCTCAGGTGTAGAACAATGAATATGGAGAGATATCTGAAATGGACATGGATGAGATTCTTTCGGTCAATGCTTTTACAACTTTTCCCAAAAATCACAGTAAATTTTGGTGTCTGTCTCTAGCCTAGTTAATGGAAGACAATCTGTAAATCAAAGAAGCAGAAACTACTGAAAAAATAAGATTTGGGGAGTAAGGCAAACACTAGGCCAAGATGCACTTAGTAAATTACCATTTCCGTGCCCACACTGTCACCTTCTAAGACTGCTTCACAAGAGGATATTAGCACAGTGTCTAAGAACTTAGACTTAGATTACCAGTACAAAAACCCTCACTCTGCTATTCATAAGCTCTGAAACCTCTGTCAAGTTTAAATATCTCAGCCTCAGTATCCTCATCTGTAAAATGAGAATAAATGATGCACCTCATGGGTTTGTCCTGAAAATGTAAAGGGTTCATGCGTTAATGAGTTTGTATACCTACCTTATACACTACCTATTACCTTCTCTACCCGTGAGCACTCATTTGGCTCACAGAAGGTATTTCAGAAAAAAAAAAAAAAAATCTGGTCCAACTGCCTCAAATTACAAAGAACCCACAACCAAAGCTGAGAACAGCCTACTCAAGACCAGAGTAGAAATTACCCAGAATCAAGGCAACTGCCTGGTCTGGTTTCACCCCACCATTCCACCTTAGCTAGGCTCACATCTCAGAAGTGACATTTTGACACTTCCCCAATCCAACCTCAACCACCCAGATTTTCTGCATCTAAAACTGATTTTCACCATCTGTTATCCATTTACTAATGAACTAGTAATGATACTTTATAAAAACTAAGTCTATTCATTACTTATCTAAACAGAGGTAAACAGCAATTCACAGATATGAACACTAAGTCTTAAGAAAGGCCAGGACCTTTCTTCAAATTTCACAGCCAGTGTCTTTGTCTCAAATCTGTCTATACAAGACTGTTTTATTAAAAACTATTTTATTTATTACTTTTGTGTATGTGTACTGCCTGCATGTGTGTAAGAACACCCCTGTCGTGCAATGCCCAGGGAGGTCAGAAGAGGGAGCCGAATCCCCTGGAACTGAAGTTACAGGTGGTGGTTAACTGCCATGAGATGCTGGGAAACGAACTCAGCCACTGCTCTTAACCACGGAGCCAACTCTCCAGCCCCAAGACTGTTTTTTTTACATTGTGTAACAGAAGAAAATGTATTATGGTCCTAATCCCAGTTTTGGAAACACCCCTGATATCAAGTTCCTTTGGCGTTTCTACAAACTAAACAACCGAAGATAAATTTCATTTGGTTCAAGCTGTGCTGACTTTGGTGTGATTTGTTTGGATGTGTTCAAAGTTCGGCTTTGACATTTTTGGGTTTCAAATTCGGCAGAATCGAGAAACTACATATTCAATGAGGATATAAACTTAAGTTAGATCCCAGAGAGCTAGCTGCACTGTATTTAATCACTGAGGAATATGGGCACCAGGATTCCGGCGCACAGCTTTGGGCCCTCGGACACAGATAACGATGTCAGGGACATTTGACCTTAATACAGTTACATCACAGACTGAGCATCATAGAAGGAGTATAACAGAAATCTTAGCTTTCAGGAAGGGATGCGTTCTCATTCTCAAACTCTACTGCCCAAAATTTGTTGGGCAGGACGCCACAGAAAAGCTGACGAAGAAATAAAACTCACGGGCTGGGAAAGATGTCACACTCCAGCTGGGCGTGGTGGCTCACGCCCCTTTTCTTAGCACTCGTGAGATGACAGCGAGCTCAAGCCAGGCCTGGACACCCAGTGTTGCAGGATGCTGTGTGGGGCCCTGTCCCCACCTGGTGAGAGCCTCCCCGCCCCCAACCCGGCGTTGCCGTCCATCATTCGGGTCCTAGCCCCTCATCCTGATCCTACCCCACCCCCACAGCGTCCCACCTCGCCTTCTGGAGTGGAAGGCCAGCCCGGAGCGGCGGGGACTCGCCAGCAGGGTGTCCGGGACGGGGCCGGTTCCCAGACAGCCCCCCTACCCCCGTGGTGCTGATGGGCACGGAGGCTGCGCGGCGTTCGGTAGGGAGCCGGGCCTCGCCATCCCAGCTCCGCCAGGGCCCTAGGCCGCTCCACCCGATACCCGCCCGCCCCACAGACCCTTGGCCGCCCCTGCAGTCCCGGGCCCTGCACCGCCAGCTTCCCCTGGGCCCACCTCACCTTCAGTCGGAGGCGCCAGGAGGGGGTGGGATGGGCAGGACGCCTGAGGCTGGGACGCTGGAACCGAAAGCCGCAGCTCCGCCCTCCCCGCCCACTGAGCCTGCGCGGAGCGAGGAGGCCGTCGCCCGCCAATCCCGACTGGAGACTGCACGCCTGCGCAGTAGCTGCCGGCCCCCACCGTCACAGGGCGCAGTGCAGGTGGCCACCTTTGCCCTAACAAAAGAGTATTGACGTCCAATCAGGATTGGGGGCTTGTGGGCGTGTCCGTGGAAAGCAGGAGCCAATAACAACGCAGGAGAAGGGGAGGGAGAAAGCGGATTTTTGCCTCTTCGTTAGCTGGAATGCAAACTGCAGGCAGAAGTCATTCTAGATACGAATTCTAGAAATTTGTATACCGAAACGCCGGGAGAGAAAAAAGTCTTTCAGATTCAAGAACAGAGTATCTGTGAGCCGAAGAGAGAAAGCCAACGCAAGAGCGTGGTCCGTCCCGTCTGAAAATTCATCTTTTCATTTCCAAAATCCGACGGTGTACAAGTAATGGAAGGTTTCTCTCAGCACTCCTCACCGGGGACGATTTCTAGATTTATTGTTCGTTTGAACACTTTATGATGGTTTAGAATTGCGAAAATACAGAAAAGCAGTTACTTATCCTCGCAGGGTGCTTGAAGCTTAAGAGTTTGTTCAAAGTCTGCTGCTGGCACACGCCTTTAGTCCCAGCACTTGGGAGGCAGACGCAAGTGGATCTCTATGAGATGGAGGCTAGCCTGATCTACATAGTGAGTGCCAGGTCAGCTGGGGCTACAGGGAGACCCTGTCTCAAAAAAGACCGAAGGGGGAAAAAAAAAAAAAAAAAGTATTTCTGTTCAAGTCAAATACGCCAGATTGACGTGCAGTGCCATCGTCATGGTAATCTAACATTTGAAACAACACTTGACCAAGATAATGTTCATCCCCACCTGCAACACTTTGATACTTTGACATAATCGTCTGAATTGTAGAGACAAACTTACATGTAGTTTCTTCTTGCTTTATCACTTTTTAAAGATTTTTAAATTGTATGAGAATGGTCGTGGTGGGGAGGGAATGTGCCCTGAGTGCAGGTGACTGAAGAGGCCAGAAGAGGGCATCGCATGCCCTGGAGTTGGTGTTACAGGAGGTTGTAAACCTCCCAGTGTGGGTACTGAAAACATCTCTATAGCCCCAGGTTTTTTGTTTTGTTTTGTTTTGTTTATCCTGACAGAACATGATAATATATGACCCTAATCCTTAAAAAAGAATCTTCATTTTGGTCTTTGAAAAGAATGCATTTAGCAGAGACTACAACACACAGTTTGAGGAAATGTGCTAGAATGCAATGCTGAAGTGAAACACATGAAGAGGAAAATTCCAAAATAAATAGGAGAGCTGAAAAGTGAGCAGAGAAGGAATGTGGGCAGCATTCACATAATAATGGCTAAAGATCTGCCAAGTTTGTGAAATGTTTGAGTCTTGAAAGCAGGGTTAATACAAAGAATTCTACACAACAATTAAATTATAGAACACCACCAATGACCAAGAAAATCTTTTTCTTGGTCATTGGTAAAGTAAAATACTTTTCCTAGGAGTTTTAAAAATCTTTTCAGATGGAGTTAAAATATAGAGAGCAGGGGGCTGGAGAGATGACTCAGCAGTTGAGAACACTGGTTACTCTTTTCCAGGACCTGGATTCAGTTTCCAGAACCCACATGGTGACTACCAACTGTCAGTAAATCCAGTTCCAGGGGATCTAACGCCCTCTTCTGACCTCCTCAGGTGCAGATGCACTTACACACGTGCAATACATTCATACACACAAAATAAAAATAGCAAAATATTTTTAAATTAAAAAAATAGAGCATTACAGTAAGCTACAAGCTGATAAAATACAGTAAAACTCTGAAAATATAGAAAATTCTAATACATCAGATAAGACAACTCAGGATAAATATTTGCAAATAACATAAATAAGTAACTCATGAAGAAAACTTAACAGCCAGAAATGTTTTTACTGTTTTCCTTCATTAGCAATCAAGGAAATTAATATTAAAACAAGAAGATAAAGGATCCACTCATGAAGAAGATACACCAATAAAGCAAAAAAGAAGGCACAACTGAACTGAAATATGGTGCCTAGATCTATATTTGGATAGATCTTTATTTTTTCCCTCACCAACCCTACTTTATAATTTGTAAAGCAAATATTCACAAAAATCAGCAGCAGAAAGATATGTTGAAATTCCTCAATAGTTAGAATTCAAAACATCTACCTCTAACAAATTGTGAGTCACAGGAACAAGTATTTGAATCAAGTTTAAATATGAACATATCAAAACGTATGGGTGCAACTAGAGTGCTTAGAAAATTTTTACTATCATATGCTTATCTGGGAAAACAAAGTTTCAAGTCAGGAATCTTAAGTATTCACTTTAAGAAGTTATGAAAAGGGGTACAAATTAAATTCAAAGCAGAAGAAAGACAGTGATAATATAAGTAAAACCAATGGAAGACCATCAAAACAACAGAAAAAATGAGACTGAAAGATGGTTTGTTCAGGGGCTTTGTGTTTGTTTTCTGGTGATGAACTGAAGACCATACAAGCTAAGCATGCAGTCTACCACTGGGCTACAGAAGGTGATTCTTTTAAAGTAGTTAAATTTAAAACTCAAAGATTTATCCAGAAAGAAAGAGAAGGATTCCACAAATTACCAATATTAGGGATGAAAGCCAGGACCTTGCTATCATAACACCAACATTAAAGATTATAAAGCAGTATCATGAACAGACATAGCAGTACATTAAGGTATTTTGATGAATCTGACATTTCCTTGAAAGGAAAAACAATGCAAAACTCATGAAGAACAGATGATATTTATAGTCCTTAATCCCTATATTAAACTATCAGTAGGTTATTTGTTCCCAAAAGAATATTCCAGATCAGATGGCTTCAGTGAATTCTTACAAGTATTTTAATAATTCCAATTCTATACAAACTCTTCCAGAAAACAGAATAGGAGAAACCATCCTCCAACTCAACTTATAAGAACAGCCTTACCCTGAGTGCTAACCTAGAAGACACAAAGAAAAGCATATACAAGAGTCCTTGACAAAGGAATCAGCAGTCCTGCTAGAGAGCCTGAGCCATTGGGATTCCTGCCTTAGGCATCCACTTCTCACAGGATTATGCACTAAAGATGCATAAAGAACTACAAAGTATCTATACTTACTAAAACAATGTTGTGAAGGAACAAAAGGGATTCACACTACATTATTTCAACATTTATTATTAAGCTACACCAACAAAACAGGAGTGCTGGTATAAAGACAGTCACATAGGTAAATGAAACAGACTAGAGCTGGAAATAAGCCCACGTCATGGACCCACATAGTTGGTTTCACAATGGTGCTATATTCCATGGAGAGGTTTTCCTCTAACAAACAATGCTGGAATGACTAGATATCAAAACAGGGAAATTGACATTAACACTTAAATCTCAGCATATACAAAAATATTAGTTCAAAATTGACTTGGTATAAAATGACAGCTAAGATTATGAATATTTTAGAAGACAGAGAAGGGTTCCTCAGCTTCATATTGGTAAACATTCTTGGAAAGCAAAATATAATTTGACTTGATATAAAATGACAGCTAAGATTATGAATATTTTAGAACACAGAGAAGGGTTCCTGAGCTTCATATTGGTAAACATTCTTGAAAAGCAAAATATAACTACTCAAAATTAAACTTTAAAATTAAAGTATTTTCTCTTTGAAAGATATCAACAAGAAAATGGAAACTCCAAGATTTGAAAAATATTCACAATACCTCATTTAATATATAATTTGAGTTCATGATATCTAAAAAGTTTTTCAGTAATAATTAGAAAAATTGACCCCAACCCCACATCCTGTTCTCCTTCTAGCCTTGGGCACAGGCATGGTTTTTGCTCTTAACACGCCAGATCTCTGGACAACACTGTAAGTTCAGACCAGCCCATTGGGTACTGACCCCCTGCACTCAGATCAGCTCAATTTTCTGACCTGTTTGTTAGAACCTTCACAGGCTGTCCCCACCCCCAATATGCCTTTGCCTAAGACTAGACTTCTACCCTAGCTGTCCCCACCCCAACTTGCCTTAAATTACCCAGAGCAGCCTTCTAGAGTAAGTCTGAACCCACACACTGCATCTTGACTCCCCTATAGCCTGAACAACAACTATCTCCCAGACCCCACATCCTGTTCCCTGTCTAGGCTTGGGAACAGGCCCCTTTTGCTCTTAGCACCCCAGATCTTTGAACTACCCGCTTAGCTCCACATGGCAGTGAGCTCTCCAAATTGCACCTAGCCCATCCCCATATATTGGGACCATCTGCAGCACCTCCCACTGTAGCAGGGCTGCCCTATAGTAGGGACCCAGAAATTCCAAGACTGCCTGAAAGAGCCTGAATCTAGCATCTGCTTGGTGATGAGCTTTCCAAATACTGTTATGCCCAACCCCCTACATTGGTACCACCTACAGCCACTCCCACTGCTGCAAGGGTAGACAGGACCAGAAAAGAAACTCTACTGCATATCATACTAAAAACACTAAACGTTCAGAACAAACAGACAGTACTGAAAGCTGCAAAAGAAAAACAACAAATCACATATAAAGGAAAACCCATCAGGATCACAGCTGACTTTTCAGTGCAAACTGTGAAAGCTGTAAGAGCCTGGACCAAAGTATTCCCAGCTCTAAATGATCACAGATGCCAAACCAGATTACTTTACCCAGCCAAAATGTCTATCATAGTTGAAGGGGAAAGAAAAATCTTCCAAGACATAAATAGGCTGAAAGAATTCATGTCCACAAAACCAGCCCTTCAGAGAGTTCTTGAAGCAATACAAAGAGCTGAAGAAAGGAATGACTATACACAAGAGGTGATGGAAAGAAATTCAATTGAAGGTATAACTGTGGAAACGCACAGCTATATCAAGAATGTGAACAGAAATAAAAATGACAGGATTCAATACACATCTTTCATTAATAACTTTAAATATCAATGGACTGAACTCCCCAGTCAAAAGATACAGGCTAGTTGAATGGATTAAGAAACAAAACCCTCCTCT